CGGAGGGAGGGAGGGAGGGAGGGAGGGAGGGAGGGAGGAAGGAAGGAAGGAAGGAAAAGTAGATAAGCAGGAGGGAGAGAGGAAAGCAGGCAGGCAGGCAGCCAGGAGGGAGGTGAAAAGGAAGGAAGGGAGGAAGGAAGGAGGGAAGCCAGGTGGGATTGCCCCATTTTAGGACTGGGGGGGGTCTCCTTCCATCTGACTGCCAATCAGGACGGACTGGAGCCGTTCGGTCACCCAGGGTTTCTTAACCTGGACCAACATTCAAGGTGGCTGGATTCCCATTCCCAGAATCCCGAGAGTTGAGATCCGTGCATTTGTAAAGGGTCAGCGTCTCCCACCCCACCGCCCTTTCCCCCCCCCCCACACCCCCGAAAACCCCTTAGCGGCTTTCAAAGAGCAAGATGGCCAGCCTGGAAGAGCTGAAGCGCCACTCCCTGGTGATCCTGGAGAAGAATAAGGACCTGATGGAGGCGATCCAGGAGACGGAAACCGACTCAGCCAACCAGGCCAGGGGCCTCCTGCAGCAGTACGACATGTTTGGGGTAAGGCGGCCTGGGAAGGGCCAGTCGGGGCAGCAGAACCAGGCTTTGGGGCACGGGGAGCCCACAGGCCATTGGGCCCAGAGCAAGGGACACGGCAACCCGCCCGTTGGGCCCACCTGAACTGTTTGTACGTTGAGAAAAGGTGACCATTGAGCTGAAATGGTGTAGAGTCTCCTGCTTGAGCAGGGGGTTGGACTAGAAGACCTCCAAGGTCCCTTCCAACCCTGTTATTCTGAAAGAGAGAGGGAGAGGGAGGAGAGAAAGAGAGAGAGAGAGAAAGAGAAAGAAAAAGAAAGAAGAGGGAAAGAAAGAATGAGGGAGAGAGAACAAATGAAAGAAAGGAGGGAAGAAGAGAAAGAAAGAAAGAAAGAAAGAAAAAGAAAGAAAGAAAGAAAGAAAGAAAGAAAGAAAGAAAGAAAAGGGAAGGAGAGAAAGAAAGAGAGAAAAGAAAGAGGGAAGAAGAGAAAGAATGAGAGAAAGAAAGAACAAAAGAAAGAGAAAGAAATAGGGAAGGAAAGAAAGAAAGGAGGGAAAGAGAAAGAAAGGAAGGAAGGAAGGAAGAAAGGAGAGAGAAAAAGAAGGAGAGAAAGAAAAAGGGAAAAAGAAAAAGAAAGAAAGAGGGAAGGAGAGAAAGAGAGAGAAATAAAAAGAAATGAGGGAAGAAGAGAGAATGAGAGAAAAAATGAAAGAAAGAAAGGAAGGAGAGAAAGGAGGGAAGAAAGAAAGAGAAAAAGAAAAAAGGAGGGAAGAAGAGAAAGAAAGTATGAGAGAGAAAGAAAGGAGGGAAAGAGAGAAAGAAAGAGAAAGAAGGAAAGGAAAGAAGGAAAGAAAGAGAGAGAGAGAAAAAAAGAAAAAAGGAGGGAAGAAAAGAAAGTATGAGAGAGAGAAAGAGAGGAGGGAAGGAGAGGAAAGAAAGGGAAGGAAAGAAAGAGAAAAAGAAAGAAAAAGAAAGGAGGAGGAGGGAAAGAGAGAAAGAAAGAGAAAGAATGAAAGGAAAGAAGGAAAGAAAGAAAGAGAGAGAGAAAAAAGAAAGAAAAAAGGAGGGAAGAAGAGAAAGAAAGTGAGAGAGAGAGAAAGAAAGAGGAGGGAAGGAGAGGAAAGAAAGGAGGGAAGGAAAGAAAGAGAAAAAGAAAAAGAAAGGAGGAGGAGGGAAAGAGAGAAAGAAAGAAGGAAAGGTAAGAAGGAAAGAAAGAAAGAGTAAGGGAGAGAGAGAGAGAAAGAAAGAAAGAACGAAAAAAAAAACGAAAGAAAGAAAGAGGCCTCCAACCTTTCTGGCTGGGTGGACTGGCGGGGGGGGGGGAAGAGGGGATGGGCTGTGTGAGTGGCAGGTGCGTGCGTGGACCATGCACAGCGCCATTTGCGCAAGCCTGCCCCTCACCCAAACGGAGCTTCGTGCCTGCTGCGAGCACAAGTTACATCTGCGTGCAGCGGTCATAAGTATGAATCAGCTGCCAAACAATCTGAATTATGATCCCACGATCATGGGGAATGCTCTAAAGGTCGTAACTGTGAAACATGGCCTCATGAGTCTCATTTTCCGGTTGCCGTTGTAACTTTGAACGGTCACTAAATGAACTGTTGTAAGTCGAGGGCTACCTGTACAGAGTATACCAGAATGGGAAGGGACCCTGGAGGTCTTCTAGTCCACCCCCCTGCTCAAGCAGGAAACCCTAGACCAGTTCAGACAGGCGGCCCATCCAGTCTCTTCCTCAAAACCTCCAGGGATGGAGCGCCCGCAACTTCTGGTGGCAGGCGGTTCCGCTGGCTAACTGTACCCCGTTGCTTCCAATCCCCACAGCGGATCATCGCCACCCTCCGAGACTCCAATCAGAACCAAGTTGGCATCGCCAAAGCAGAGCTCAGCGTCGTGGAGAAGAAAGTGGAGAAGAAAATGGCAAGTAAGCTGTGCCCACCTGGCCTCCTCACCTGGGTGTGTGTGTGGGGGGGGGTGGGCTGGGCAGAGGGGAGCTCCACGCTTTTCACATCCCCAAGGAAGGAAGGAGTAGCGCCTTGTGGCAAGGTGACTTATCAGACACCCCCCCTCTCAATCTCCAGGTAGATGGACAGGTAATCCTTTCATTCAGCAACCGTTTGAAGTTACAGCCACGTTGAAAAAAGGGGGCCGTGGCTGGTCCCTGAAATCGTTCATTTGTTCATTCATCCGTTCCTTCCTTCCTTCGTTCATTCATTTGTTGATTTGTTCCTTCGTTCATTCCTTCATTCCCTCCTTCGTTCATTCATTTATGGGGCAGGTAGTCACGTGACCACAGTCCAGGCGCTTGGAAAGTGGCATGGCTTGGTACCTTTTCAGTGGCTTTTGCTTAACGCTGCTTAATGCTGACCCTGCAAGCTGCTCACCTCAGGGCCCCCACAGCCAGGCCATCCACGCCCCCCCACCTCGTGGCCATGGCACCACCTCAGCATCCTCTGCGGGCAAACGGAAGTGGGCTGGTGGCCACATGGACTCCAGCTGCACAGGGCTGCTGGTGCTGGTCGGTCTGTCTATCCATCCATCCATCCATCCCTATCTATCTTTCTATCTATCCAACTATCTATCTATCTGTTTATTTATCTGTCTATCTCTGTCTATCTGTCTGTCTGTCCGTCCATTCGTCCATCCACCTCTATCTTTCTATCTATCCAACTATCCATCTATCTATCCATCTCTATCCATCCATCTATCCATCTCTATCTATCCATCCATCCATCTCTATCTATCCATCCATCCATCCATCCATCCATCCATCCATCCATCCATCTATCCATCTTTATCTATCTATCCATCCATCCATCCATCTATCCATCTCTATCCATCCATCTATCCATCTCTATCTATCTATCTATCTATCTATCTATCTATCTATCTATCTATCTATCTATTCATTCATCCATCCATCTATCTATCCATCCATCCATCCATCCATCCAT